CTGTGGCTCGGTCACGTGCCACACATACCGAAACACCGCCTACCGAGACCAGTGTTGTTCTCTGTGCTTCCTTCAGGACGGCGCAAACCGCCAGGTGGACAACGCGTGACTTTTACGAAGGGCTTGAATGACATCACGAGGAGTTTGGGTGTTGTTGTTGTTACATGCCTTCCTGGATAGGGTCCCCATGATCCCGCCTTTACTTGGCTAGAAGCATTGCATGAAACGGCGGCTAATCGATGTCAGTGATGTTCGTGCCGTCCAGGTTGTCTGATTGAGCGCTTGGAGGTGTAGGCACCTTAGAACGCTTGACATAGGCCAGCACTGGGTCGCCTCGCTCAACCACTCCCTTTCCTTTTCACTCTGGGGCTTCAAGTATAGTAAGACGAACCTTACGGTGATTATGACGATGGACGCGGGACCTATGGTAGGTAGCTGCGCATAGGGGGCGTGAGCTGATATAAGTGATTCATAAATACAGGGTTGTCAGTGGACTTTCTAGGAGGAAAAATTGGGAGGAGAGTTATTCAGTAAAGGCAATGGCTTGGATGCGTGAGCACCATTGAGCGCGCAACTCGATCATGTCTTACAGTATCTCTAACTATTGATGTGTCTCGTCTCTCGTCCCATCCAGGGAGACGGTAATGACCAACACACCTGACGTAGCTGGTAGTGGCTTTTATACTTTGCTGTCAAGTGACTGATTGACTTCACTTGGCTCATATCCACCCTTCGTAAGGTTATGCCAAAACAATCCTTCGAGGGAGTCTATTGACTGGCATACGGAGCACGTGGCCAAGCCAGTACAACCTATGCAGTGTGATCAGTCCATCTATCGTGGTGAATTATTTCTTCCAAAAACCATTCGATGTACTTCAGCATTGCTGAACCGGTTTTCGCACCAGACTCGGACAATGCTCCGAAGACATCGATGGTCAAGTACTGAAAGTTTTTTTATGTCCTCGGTGCGCAGCGGCCAGGTTTCTAACCCGTATAGCAATAGGATCGTACCGCAGCATTGCAAACTCGACCCTTGACGGATAAGCTGATATTACTCTGGCCTGATATCTGCTCTGACCTTCCCCATCCGGAAGGAAATATGATCGCCTGCGAAACAACCGAGACTTATACAGCTTCCCAGGTAGATAATCTTGTCTACTACTTCAATCGCCTCATCCACAAATACGAGGTTAGGGCTTGAGTTCACCCTATCTTGGAGCAGCACTTCACACTTCGCAGATATAGTGCACGCCAGGCAGTGTGGCAGAATTACTTAGATTAATGAATGTTGTTCACATTACGATGGTGTCAGATACGAGGACTATGCCATCTGCGTACTCTATATCTATGAGCGAAGGCTCTGGGAATATTCCGATTCCACAGATATTCAAGGGGAATGAGTCTTTAATAACCATATCAGTGACGAATCTGGAGAGGAAAGGTGAAAGGGGACGGCCCTGGCTGACATCACTTGATACGTGGAACTCAGGTGAGAGCTTCCCGTAGAACTTCACACATCTTTGGAGTACACCGTCTTACGAAGGGTCAAGAATTTTCAGGGGATACCTTTGCTCCATGGACACTGCTTTAGTGCCTGAAGGTCAATTTAGTCGACACATTGCAAATCAAGAAAGTTCACCGTTGTTCGTTGCTGGAAGTAACACCGTTGCTTCAAAATCTGTCAGAGGGTGAAAATACGATTATATCCTCCTGTAGGACGGACACCAGCATGGCTTCACAGATCTGTCTGTCCCAGTGTTCAGTCAGACTTAGAAGTATAAGATCAGAGAAAACCTTTGATGCCACAGCTATCACGGTGGTATTTGTAAAGCATCTGTACACTTCTTTTAATATAGGAATAATAGTCGACCCCATTTCGCACAAATGGGCTGTTGATGAGTCACTGAGAATTCTCTGCCTCCTTTGAAAAGGAGGCCGGTCCGGTCCTGATGTCTTCTCACGTTTCGGTACGCACATCCCTACTTTACTTCTTATGACGGGCGATTAAGGTTTACATTATATTCACCCATACGAACAGCTTCCAAAAGCTGTGCTGCACGTGGCCAACTGAGCTGTTCTTCGAAGTATTCGATTCACCTATCTGGTCAGTATTTTTGAGAGTGAATTAATGAGCCGTCTTTTTCGCTTATCGTTTTAAAAACCGTTGCTTTCCTATGGCCGATTGGTGTTTGGTACGACTGTTCCCGGTAGCAAACGCTTTTCCACTCATTTTACTACTTGGAGTTTGTAGGATCGGCCTGCACAGCCGTACTCTGTGCCTGCTTGAATAGATTTTGTTAGGCAGAATTCTGCTCGGAAACCACTTTGTCTTTCGCAGTTAGCTGCTGCTATGCAAAGAAAGCTCATACCGCACACCATTGGCCAGATCAGGCCACATTCCGGTCCAGCATTAAGGCGGATGACTGGCCGAAAAGCGTGGACCCAACAGCCAAATGCCCGTTGCCAATGGCGCATACAGAGGTCGTAGGAATTCCTAGAATCTGGTCGCCGCACACAATATGTACGACGCACTTCAGAAGTGTTTTTGACCAGGTTTTGAGCGTTAATACATGCTGTGCACCTTTGGTGATTGTTTTGACGGGGAAGCAAGCGCTTGAGAGGTTCAGAACAAAGCTGACAAAAATGCGGTTATGACAGAATTCATGATATCAATCAGGGCTGGCGATTTCTACGATATCCTGTGGTCATTCGGTAGCATCGGAGGAGGCGGACAGAAGACAATGAACGCTGCTAGCATGGTTCCTTTCACATTTTCCTCATGTTTCACCAACGTGCTCATTACCAGTGAAGTATGGGTTTACCGTAGGGAGTTGTTGAGCAAGCTCAATCGAGTGGTTAACTGCGGTAGTTTCTGGATTGCATCCCAAGCACAGGCTTCGGCACTACGTACAGCTTCGGGTATCTAGTTCCAATCTTCACGAGCATTTGAAATCCGACGGACGTTGGGGAAGCTTCATGATATATTTGTTTGATTCTGGGGGGCATGCGTCCCAGAGTGATTGAGGGGAGTACATACTTTGCCTCAAAATTACAATAAAAAGTGGAAGCGGATATGTGCAGATCACACAGGTATTCCAAAAGCAACAAACAGTAAGCAATCCACACCATCGGTAATTGACGGCAATACGGTCTGTTAGGGTCCGAGGCCGGTTCACTGGCGAATCCGTCTTCAAACAATTTCCGAGGCGATTCTGATCGCTTACCAATCTGCCAACTCCTATTTAATGGCCGCTATTTGGTTGTTGCTAACGCGCGAACCTGCGAAAAATGGTGGCTTGTTCCTCTAAGAAACACGGATGCTGTAATGGTTCACACTCGATACTGGATTGCACGCATGTTAAATTCCCCACACTAGTCAGTGTGCTCGCTTACTTTGGCGTACCAACGGGTTGTGTCGGTATTTGCCATTGGATATATCCTGTCGATAGATGCTGAAGACTACCAGTAAAAAAGTCATGCCACATGAATCTGTCGGCTGACTAGGTCGAAGTCGAAGTCTATTACAAGATGGGGTCATAAATGGCAAACAAGCATGTTGAACAACATTTGATATGATCTGGAGGAAAACTACCATGTACTATTACATATATACCTTCGCAAAATAGTCGTCTTCTGTTAATCAACTGAGAACCTAAGACTGGTACGTAAACATTTCATATGATTCCGCAATCATCTGCTCCCGTTGTGCACTTGGGTAGGTTTGCAGGTTAAGTTGGTGCGCGAATGTCACTTCCCTTCACTCAGTTAGCTGCGGAATCTCTACGATTTAGGATCAAAATGAGCCATACCTGAAAATCACTTGCCGTGTAGGAAACATATATACAGAACAAACCAAACATTAGAGCGACGATACGATCCATTAGTTCGAGAAACAAAGAAGCCCTGTTGCGAGAGCGCCGATGACTGCGTAATCGAGCCATGCATGCCAGCACTATTAACCATTAATGACCTAAGCCTCCGGATCCCCATCCAAAATGCGGCAAGTGAAAGCGCACATTAGAAAGAACCGATCTGTTGGAGCTGAATATCGGGGCGCATTGTACGGGTTCGCCAAAGCCAGATAATGTGGCGTAATCCCAGCTGATACACAAGAGACAAATCAGTGTCTCCGCTACCGGAGTTCGAATTCCCTTGTTCACTTCACGCTGGCTACTGATAAACGCCTGCTGCCAAGTTGTGCGGGCATGCACGTCGGTATTATAATCGTCAGAAAACATATCGACCCGTACTGCATACGACGGATCCCTGTCGATGTCTCCGGGAATTTATTAAGACCAAGTCACGCACGTTAATTACTAGATGGGCAGTAGCATGTATATGGCCTTTCGTGAATCAACCAACTGGGGAGTGCGCTTAGGTACGTCTGCATGGATAGAGAAGGAGGCAACCATTTGAAACCAACCAACCTAGGAGAATGGCAACCAGAATCCCACTCAGAGCCACAAGCCGGCGGATTGTCACAAATACCGGAACATTCTCCCCAGATTAAAGACAATGCACATGGACAGGCAACGCGAGACCAGATGGACGGACGCAGTGATCGGTCCGCTGGCATGACCAAGAGTGCCGGACAGGATAGGCGAACTCTTAACCAATGCGAAGAAACCGACAGGAATGGTGACCCATTGCGATCGTAATCATGCTGGAAAAAGGGTGCTAATCTAGTTCGTACATCCCATCAAAATCAGGAGCTGTGCTCGTTAATAAGTGCAACAGGTGTTTAAACACTGAAAGAATTCCCGAAAAACGAAACTCCATGCCGGCTACTGTATTACAGGTATTAGAGCATAAAGCTGCTTTCAGAACAAAAGGTTAATATCTTGGGTATCGGATCATTCTAAGGCGGTCAATTCTTGGGCGCACGACCAAGGAGCCTGGTATCTCTCTCCCTCTCTCTGCTCAAAGATAAAACTAAGACTGACGGATACCTCAAGGCCCGAACTAGCAAAAGAACAAAAGGATCTGAAGCTCAAGTAGGTAAACAAGTGATTCGAATCTCACACTCAGTTCAACAAGTACCACTGGACCTCTGAAAGTTTAACATATCATTATGACATACAAGGGACAGACAACCCCCAAGTACCAAAACTCAGCGAGATGGAGTACGTGGGATGCCAAACGGGTGAGTTAGTATTGTAAACAGCGAGGCGCACCAAACATCTACGGATAAGACACAAGTAAGTTGGTATAACATTTTAATGTGATTGCATCAGCTGTACATATGTTTAGGTCATAAACAACATCTTCACATCGCCTTATCTTTCGCTTCACTTTGCATTGCTGAATAAGCACCGTAATCAACGTGAGTGGCAGAAGAAAATCCAAGTCCGACACCCCTTTGGGTGTGGGTAAGGGCTCTGGATTGTTCGTACTCATACTCAAGACGTCGAAAAAGCTCTGCTTGTTCTTCAGCGCGTTTTTGCGCATCATCTTGGGACCCGTCCTGGCCAGGATCGTCATGGATCCCCATGAGTTTTCGGAACTTGGCAGCTGCAGCTGAGTCACCTTTACCAGCAACCAGAGACGTTGTGGTCCAAGCAGAGGCCTTGGTATCCTGCAAAAAGAAACAGAAAAATGAGTGCATCAACGAACCACTCAGTAATTACATCGAATAATACAGGCAAACTGAAAAGTGTAGATGGTCTGCAGGACATCTGATCAAATAATGAAAAATGTATACTATGGATACACCATTGTACACAAGGAAGTCTTTCATTCAATTCAAATAGCCAGTGGTAAACGCGTGTTAGGGAGACTAAGCAGGAAAAAGGAAGTATACCGGTACCCAACCTTCAAGGACTTCTCGACCAAATACAGTTCACGTGCTCGTTAACTCAGCTACGTCCACGTGTTCCGTGAACAGAGCGTGAAGAACGTCTGCGTGAGCAACTCAAACAAAACTCGGCCATCCCCGCACACTCCCAAGGTTGAGTGAGCCACGTTTCACGACTATTAGAGGAGACCACAAAAGTCATCAAAATCAGTCGTCCAAAAGTACAGTGTCTTACGAATACTTTATAAGTTCTCAATCGTCAACCATAATAAGGCAACCATTTGGAAGTGACAGATAAACCCATCAACTCCATCGAGAGCTAGACGGCTCAGTGGTTAGAGAGTGAATTTACTGAGCTGGAGGTCCGTTCTTCGAACCCAACCTCTGTATCTCGACTTCCCGTGTCTAGGCTTGGGCAACCTAGCAGTATTCCAGCCCTTATGCTTGTTTTGGGTAGCATGGCAGCTAGACACCAAAAGGGTGTTATAGCTGAACGATTTACGTTTCTTTATTTATCGACTCCATTGCGTTAGTGGACGCGTTGGAGAAGGTGATCATGAAGCACAAAAGTCTGAAAACCCACATTATTGGGGGCGGTGTATCCAACACAGCCGTCACGGAGACTGGACCTTACCGTGATTTGACAGTTCGCGCACCTCAGCGATTCAGTGAGCTATACTTGGAGGGTGTCCCCCAACACTCACAGGGTCTCTCGTACCAGGATGGCCAATGGTTAGAGGTCAGAAAACGAAGTCTCCTAACCCTCCAGGTTGGGAGTTGGAACATTCGGCGACTTGTTCCGTAGAAACGGTAGAAACGGCATTTGCATTTCCCGCCAAAACTCTGCTGCCTTGCGGTTAGGCTTTTGAGCCGAAGGCTTTGGTTGCGGACTCTCATCGTCCTCCTGTCTAGGTGGGGGCACCCTGGCAGTATCCCAGGCCACGAACAACCATGACGCCTACGTCTAGTAATAAACTCATGCCACATAGGCCGTCACATCGTGCTATCTGCCGGATCGCTCGCTGCACATAACAGAGCGGGTAAGCGAAAACATGCTACCGCTGGTGCCTCTCATGTCTCTTACACAGTTCTTCTTCCCGGTCTCCCCACCCCATTAATGACTCCCTTTAACAATCGTTCAGTTGTAGCACCCTTTCGGTGCCTAACTGCCACGCCACCCGAAGGTTGCACGAGGGCTGGGATACTGCCAAGTTGCCCAAGCCTAGACATGGGAGTCGAGAGGCAGAGGCCGGGTTCGAACCATTGACCTTCCGGTCAGTAAATTCGCGCTCTAACCACTTGAGCCACCTCGCCCCTCAATGAGTCCCTTTGTGCATCCAGAATTTAGGACTGATGACTCCGTTCGTCTTGCATCAGTTTTACAAGTAACATCTGCTCGTCACATAGAGTTAACGCCCTTAGGTATCTCGAAATCAATCTTCAAGGCTCGATGTCCAGTTTATCGGGTCGCCTTCAATGTTTGAATAATGAAGCAGGCAGGACAATAAGCTGCTCTTACACTCACACTCGCCTGACATTGGTATGTCGTGTCTCAAGATACAAGCACAGTGGTTGAACTAACCACCGCATCACTCACCACTTGCGTTCAGCTTCGCAACTTTGGTGATCCAGGGGCAGGAGATGCAGGGGTTAGTATCACTTAAGTCAGCGGGCGGAGGAATTCTTGCCTGGTTGGATACCTGTTTATAGCCACCTTTGTGTGGTTCGTCTAGCAACGTCTGTGAAGAAGCCCCGCTCGATGTCTGTTTATCGTGTCTGCTTAAACCTCAAATGACCGCAGCTGTGACGCCGTCAAAGACAGGCTTCACAGTTACTTCCACTGAAGAATGTGTCAAGCACCAGAACCTGCGTTGGTTGTGCTGCGCATGCCGAACCATCGTTCGCCGAGAGTGCTGTTTTCCATGCCCAACTCAGAGGGGCAGAAGCAGAGAGGTGACCAACCCTCCACATGAGAGAAGGGTATGACGGAGATTACGAAACGTTTAGGTTTGTCGATGCTACTCGCCTTCCAGGATGGGGAGTGTTCGATCACCACTGCACTTGGTTGGAGACACTGCAAGTTTTGGCTACCAATCAATGCCAGTGGCGTTCTTCAGTTTTTATTCAGATTACCTCAATGAGTGTCTGGAGGTGTAGGCACCTCGGAATGATTGTAGTAAGCTAGCACTAAGTCCCTCTTCCGTCAACCCTTATCCTTTTCGCTACAATAAGGCCTTCAACTAAATCATGGTTGTACGTCAGCGAAGCATCGGTGTTAAACAGTGATGTGCTATCTATGATGATGACGATGATGAGCTGTTGGCCAATTACCGTTTGGTCCCTATCTGTCTGTTTTACGAAAATGAATTCCTGCTACATTCAGTGTATCCGTTGCACACCGTTGTTTCAGCTTCCGTAGCGTCTGCAGCGCATACCTTTTTTTGTTCCATGGATGTATCATGTGTGCTGGATCCAACCAACTGCACCCCCCCCCAACCTAAAGCGGCAACCTCGACGTCGTCGTAGAGCCGGAGTGTTGCAGTGATTTCAGACCACTTCGTAGCACGTTTGTTCGTAGTAAGAATTCTCGCTAATCTTGTTCTGAGTTCTCCTCTCCGACCCTCCTGGCATAGTTGCTCCGTGTGGAACGAAGTTCCAGCCAATGTAGCCCGCGAGATCATAGCAGCACTCCGGCAAAACGACTACGTCAAGGTTGCCGCTTCAGGTCGGGGGGGGGGTGTGCAGTTGGTTGGATCCAGCACACATGATACATCCATGGAACAAAAAAAGGTATGCGCTGCAGATGCCTATTGCTCAATTCAAAGAGTACGGAAGCTGAAACAACGGTGTGCAACGGATACACTGAATGTAGCAGGAATTCATTTTCGTAAAACAGACAGATAGGGACCAAACGGTAATTGGCCAACAGCTCATCATCGTCATCATCATAGATAGCACATCACTGTTTAACACCGATGCTTCGCTGACGTACAACCATGATTTAGTTGAAGGCCTTATTGTAGCGAAAAGGATAAGGGTTGACGGAAGAGGGACTTACTAGCTTACTACAGTCTGATCTACAGGACAGTAAGGGAATGTAAGGCTTTGCTTGGGGGCTGTTGCCCCAGTGTAACTGAAATGTCAGAACGGTGAGGAGTTATCAGGGTTTTCTTTTCCATATGTAAAACGCTGGACTTGCCCGAAGACAGAGAGAATAGGGCTGCAGTGTAGAGCAAACGCTCTTAGCAGGATAAATTTCCCATCAACCGGAGGTCAGGGTCAGCCATTGGACAGTCATGATGCAGCTTTCAGGGACAACCTTTTCTGACCCATCCTTCCTTGGAAGAAGGCTGACTCTACACGCATAGCGTTTGCTTTCACATTCTTATCACACAGGACTTATCACAGGATTACGACATTACTCCAAGGCCGTCTCGTAATGCGATTTCTCGTCTTGATCCCTTCTTGGGGAGTAGTTCTGTGGGGCTGAAAAACTCATGCATATACACACATGTGTACATACAACAGAATAAAGAGCCATGTAAAGGTGCGCGATGAGAAAAACATGGCATATCCACGAACCTGTGCGTTATCCTCTTTCTTCTTTGACCAAAGAAGTTTACGCTTTTCTTGTTGTTCAGCAAGCTTGACGGCGTTGACACTACCCGGATTGTAATACTTGGGGAGATTTGCTGCTGCTGCCGCTGCGATTGCCTGTGCTTTTGCCACGGCCTCTTGGTGCTTCTGTATCTGGTTGAGCAATTCTTGTGTACTCATTGAGAGGACAGAGCCCGGTTTCGTAGCGTCTGCAAAGAAAAACACTAAAATGTGAGAATAGGGGACAAATGCAATAACGATCGTGAAGTTGAAAACAACCCGTGTCGCAACAGTTTTTCGTCCCAAAGGAATAATGGCTCTTCTCACAAAGAAACTTCACTTAACAACCATTTTACACTTAGCCTTGGCCTTCCTTGGCTGAGACTAACGTCTGGTAAGCAAAAAACAGCCTAGGCATGAAAAAGAGCTTTTCCAACGACGCAGGATTACAGATGTCGAGGTAGCGAAGCTGTTTCAGGGGTGCAACAAAACGATGAGGCGTCATGCGTACACAAAGGCGGTCTGTTTGCTCATCCGGTTGGGTTAACGCGTCTAAGCAAGGCGGAAAACGTGACATCTTACCTCACGTGCTTTGTGAGATCTATGGTGGTCACCATATACCCAGTTCTCACGCCGAAACTTTAATTTAGGCGACATAAACTATTTAATTTTCTGAGTCACACATCGCCTAATTCCAACTTTGAGGTTTTTCACGAAGGAGCTTCTGTAATGTGGGGCATTATTATCATCCCGACCAACCTCATTCCATTGGCAAGCAACACAACGATACGCGCTTCCTCGTATCCATAGCCTTCAAGGCTATCAGGACAGCACCTGAACTGCTAAAGCGCTAAGACTTCCAAATGCAAACTAGGGTAACCTAGGTGTAAGCCATCAATATTTTAGGACAAGGTGCACACACGTATGGCCGCATTAGACAGGTGATTCGGCGGTAGGACTGTTACGACGAGTGTGAAGACTCAACGAATAGGACAACGAGCCAACTGAATACATCAAACGAAATAGCGCGACAGATCGAAATCGGTCTCTCGCGTGAAGATATTAGTCAGTCCCTTTGGAGAGGACTACGTTCAAAAAGCCCTTTTGCTACGAACTTATGTGCCAGAAATGTATTCATTATGTAAGTCACACCCGACCAGCTTTGTTGGGTCTGTTTAAACCTACAGTATTGTCTGAAAGGATGAACTAAGGAAACCTTGAGTCCGTAATGTATGTTCCGGTAGATGTTTCTATTTCTTATTAGAACTATTGAGATTAAAAGTAGTTCTTACCGCAGAGTCATAAACAATCTACCCAATTTTCACTAAGAAACCAGTTTGTTTTCCCTAGAGTGATTACTGTAATCTTCTAGTCAACTAGTATTATTAATTCATACATATGGTCAGGCTCACATGTCTGGAGCAACGGCATACAAAAAAAAACGCAAATGTGGCTGTCCAACCCCTTCCTAAACTAGCACCGACAGATAACGGTAAGGGGTGTGAGATTAGACTGCACAATTCAAAGTGCTACTCACGCGTCAAACGTTAATATTCATTCTGCCTAACGATCGTCAAAGTGTGAAACCCATTGCATCAATTTGCAGGTGCAGAAACGAACTTGTATACAGGAGTTGCACCAACTGTTTCAAGTCAGATAGTTTGGTGCGGTGTAGACATTGGAGCGCAAATTTACTGACCACAAGGTCCGTGGTCCGAGCTCTACCGCTCGACTTCCCCTGTCTATGATTGGGCAACCTGAGTAATCTCGTGCTTCCTTCGAGTGGCTTGACAGCTAGGCTCCGAAAGGGTGTTACAGCTGAACGATTGGATATTACTGTATCTGTTTATTAAACTGATTGCACACTAAATTCAACTTTTAGTTCTTCTGTAAAACAATTTCGGATTACATGCGTGGGAAAGGGAATGATTTTTCACATCCTGAGAGATTTGAAGGAAGCATTGTGGATGTTCGGTTACTGCTCTTCTGTCCGTCATCCTTCATTATTTGCGAGATTCAGCGCTGAACGAAAAATACACCAGTATCCGGGTGTAGAAATACAGGCTACCAGGTATCCGTACAAATAGAAGCAGCTAGACATCCTCAAGTATTCTCAATCGATCGTTAATTTCAATCTTGCGGATATTCTTGACCCAATCATGACCAGAAAAAGCGAAGTACGAAAGATTTCTACAGTGTGGGTAGCAATTTCTCCCCCGGACGACAGTGTGATTTATCATACCTATCAACGGCAGTCGAACTGGGATCGCGAGATGAACGTAAAAAACCAAATACAACTAAACAATGAGATGGTGCCCAAATACCTTGAGTTGTTACCACAGGATTGGCGGTCGAGGAAGTCACGGTAGCCGAAGAAGTAGGAGCTAGGACAGTGCTTTTCTTTTCCGGCATCTGAGCTTTTGAACTATCGCATTTCGAAGAGACCTAGAGTAATAACAAAGTCACACATATATGAGACAGGGCATACATCAGAGAACAAACAATATCGTATAAACACTTTGCTCTCAAATGACTACGTTAGACAAGTGAAATGCGCCATGTTACTGAGTAACGAATTCCCTTTGGCTATTTCCCACAAGCGTTATTGTAACGACAGGACAATCAAAGTATGGTTTATCAATGGCGATGTATACCCATGTGCTCTTGTCCGGTTGTCCACAAACACACAGCATTATGATTGCTTGACTTGACGTCGCATACACAAACATTCAGAGGGGAACGGTAGTTGATACCGCGTCGCGAGGGACAGTATGTATGACGGGAAAGGAAGAGGTTCAGCGACAATATCACAATACATGTGTGCTTTGAAAGCATACATGCCTCCGGGTCTCCTATCATTACTCATGGGATGCACGAAAACAAAGTCCAATTGGAATTACAATATCGAATGAAGAGGTGCACAGCTGACATTTGAGCGCTTGACAGGAAAATCCGCCGGTGATTGATACCATCCTGAAGCCGGTACTAATATGCTAGGCGACAGGAATCGGTGGGGGGCTCAAGTCCACAAAAGAAATCAGTTCAAGGTTGTCACCCGTTGGATTTAATGAGACGTTTGGTAGAGCAATAACAAACCGCGACGGTGCACCTTATCGAACAGACGCTGGATGACAAAAAGAGATACTAGTCAGTGAACCGCGGGTTCCACCTACTAAGCTCCCAAGACCTTTTTGATCCACCGAATGAACTCAGAGAACCCCGGTGGATGACCGTAAAATTTGAAATCAAGTGCAAAGATGTACTCACCGCTCTCGTAGGTGCAGATGTGGACTGTGAAGAACTTTTGCGAGAACGTGAAGGGATCGAAGAATCACTAGAAGAAGATGAAGATGTTGAAATGTGTCGGCGTTTCCGGCGATGACGGTGGTCACGACTGCGAGAATGTCGATGACGATCACCACGATGACGACGACTATGTCGATGTCGTCTGGAAGAATGACGCCGTCTAGGATGACCAGAATGGCTGCTAGGAGACCGAATTCTTGACCGTCGTTTTTTACGGTCGTAATCTCGATGGCGTCCATGGCGAGACCTGAATTTGGAAAAGCCTTATCATGTTCATAGAGGATGGAGGGTAAAATAATGGTTATTGGCTGAGCATGATTTACCCGATGTAACGTGAAAAAAACGGGACAAGATGTATACACACAAGCGAATTTACATCACCGGTTATACAAAGATGATAGAATTGGGAAGTCGAGTACACAACAGCTCAAATCTATGATCCAAATGAATCCAATGACCAAGAGTGAAACTTCCTGAGATAAACGTGCTTGTAGGTTCCACAAATGGAGTGAAACGATAGGACGTGCCTGCTTCAGCCAGCCATTTGAATTTTTTTTTTCAAAAGGGAATGAATCCCAACATCAAGGTTCATATGACAATCCTTCAACTCAGGAAATGTTCAACACGTGCTGCTTATTGTGCAACACTGTCATGACCACATGAACCATATCTTTGCATACATCATTAACTTGTAATTCTCACTCTGCATTTTCAGCTACTACTGTTATTAGACGATTAAAGCGTATGTTACATCCTTTTACTGTCTTCCTACTCTACCTAGAACTACTCGACTCTCGCAACAATTTAACCGCCGTCTAATAAATAAGAAATAAGAAATGGATCATAATCTCAGATTTACGGTTTTCTCACTCACTGAACGGCACGAAACGAAGAACTCATTGGTTCCGCACCTTCAAATCTTACATCAACCAAATCTGAAAGTCTAAATAAACTGGAAACTCCCATACGTCACATTGACTTCACTGCAGAATGTAGCGACAACGATTCTGAGATAACCTTGCTGGGAAAACTTTGTATTCGCCCAAAAAATCGTCTATGCACATGTCTTAGCTGTGGAACATACAAACGGAGCAGTCCGGGATGCCTTGATAGCCGGACTGCAGTCGTTGGCCATTCGGGATGAACTGGATCTTGACAAAGCCCACGAAGCCGCACGAGCTCGCGAACTTGCACAAAAACAATCACAACCCGTTTCTTGTTCTGTCTTCTCGTTCATCCATTATTAAACCCGTAACAACAGTCTCTGTTGCTACACAACAGACATTACTTTTGTGGGTATCCCAAGCACTCTCGTTATACCTAACAGCTGATGAATCAGTGTGCAAAAGTTGTGAGAAAATTGGGCGTTTTCAACGCGTCCGTAGATCCAAAACCATAAAAATCTCAAGTGGGCACAGTTCAAGACTCCTTAATCTCCTCGTTATTGTGACGCTGCTTCCAACTGACCATCTAAAACTACAACAGATGTTTTGATCAACAGAGCTGTTGTCCAAGCTCTTACAGATACCGGTGATAGGAAGAAGGAAGGCGCTGCGGAGTTATTTATCCGGAAATGCCAACTGACCGGTTACAGACCATTGAACAGGGAAGCAAAACTCTAATCTGCATCTTAGTTACAAAAACTGGACACCGATCTTCTCCCGAACGAGTCTTCCTAGAGATTCGTTGCCTCCACTCATTCGTCGGTCAAATCCAAGCAAATGTTACAAAGTGGCCCCACGAATTCCGCAACAGAATTCCCTTTTTCAGTCGACGCAAAGCGAAATTCTACGAACAACACATACTACTAACGTGCCTCCCGATCAGTAGTACCACCGTTACACACCTCCACCCCTTAAAACTCGTTCGCATGCCATCGATTCTCATTTCCCTCCGTCAGGTCGGCCTCGGCAGCGGGTCTATTCGGCAGCTCTTCAGGTATATCATGCCACTTGCGAAGCTGCGTCCCATTCACTACTTTCGATCCCCGACCATCTTGAATGGTATAGACGTTCCCCCGGCGGTCGGTGACTACAAACGGCCCTTGCCATCG